GGCAACGCGGCGAAAAAGCGTACAAACGGAGAACGGTAAAGCTCTACGTTTGCAGAGAGCATGTAAAAGGTAAAGACCTGAACTGAACCTAAACACCAGAAAACCTAACCTCCGCGAGACCCTCATAAAGGGCCAAATACGCAAAGAAAGACTTGAATTTTCGGAAAACTTAGCGCATTGATTAGATGAATAGAGGTTTGCATTTATACAGAGGCACTCGGAGAATTCAAATTCACAATTCATTCAATTCACGAAAGCATTGAAAACGCAAAAAAGACTATCTTTTTTATAAGTGAGCTCGCTCTTTGAAGCAAGCTTTCCTGACCCGGCGAAAATGTTATAGATAAGCGTAATATAAAAATCTAGGGGGTCAGTAACTAGCTGACTAACCGAACAGTTTTTTGTAACGTTGGTTGTAGTTATAATACCAAGTGAACAGCTCTAACTGACTAGCCTGCATGGGCCGCAGTTCGCAGTCACGATTTGGCGAACGCGATTACCATTTGTTTCAACTGACTTGGCTTCGGGAAGACGGAGCTTCGTGACCTAATTAAGGCCAGTTAATAATAATCAGAGAGCACTCGCGCGAGAAAGACACAGATGCGTCGCAGGCGCGAGCAGCCTTAATCAGGTCACAGAGCCCCGCCTTCCCGAAGCCAAGCCAGTTGAATCAAAGGCTATAAGCTAATCCGAGGCGAAGGAGGCAATGGTAAGAGATGCTCGAACACGCGGGTCGCAGCCGCGTCGCACTCTGCACCGACCGCCTTTGTCATGGAAGATTTTACTATTTTTATAACGATCCGTTACACATTGGTCAAAATCAAATCGTTCATCAAATCGTTGTCGTTCCGTGAGTTCGTAGAGTTCCCGTTCTCGTTTTCATTTCTCTGAGGAGCGGTTAATCTGTGGCAAGACGTGTGACCATTAAGAAGAGCTAAATTCTTTTGCAAAAAATTTGCTATGTATACAGTTCAATTTTGGTGTTGTACGATTCTGTATGCGCTGTAAACAAGCAATTTGTTTATATTAGCCTTGCTTTCAAATCGCGCGCACTTTTCGCCATACACGATATAGCATGTCGTGTGTTAACCTATTCGAAAAGTTTGTAATCGACTGAATGGCGCTTTTCTCGGTGCTCGTCCCCGAATTGTCAAAAACGATATCTTCTTTGCTATTTGCTCCAAAAACGAAGTCGAGCCTGCTTTCAGACAATCTGTGCTAAACAGGGAAGTACTTTTAATGGCCTTGGCCTTTTGATATGAGATGCATACCGTCTGAAGCAGCTTCGAACGCTGATTTCAAATCTGCCTTGCTTTTCTGCGGAGCGCTCTTCTGAAGAGAGTTAAAGAAGCCTGAATATCCTGTTTCGGACGCTCCTTGAGTTTGAGAATGCTGCCAACCGTGCTTTGGTGGTGCAGTGGTGTGATGGTTAGTTGTTGGCATTAAAGGCGAAAGGTCGATGATTCGAATCCGGTTTGATCGAATTCATTTGAAAGGTTTTAAATTCATTTAAAACGCCACTCCAATATTGTTCCCCTAGTACCTTTGATGGGTATTTGCGAGCATGAGAATTGCGCGAAGGTTTTCTTCATACCCTGCACCCGTTGTGAGAGATGTCTGTGTTTTGCTCACCTTGTAATTTCGCTTCACCTCTGTACAAGAATTTTTTTGCGGAGAAAACCAAATCTCAACAAGCAAGGTTCTGCCAGAAAATTTTTCTCTCAAAGGCAGTGGATCGGCAAAATCCAACAACTCATGATTTCAACGCGGTAGGTTCCTTATCGCCCAACTATGAAAACAGTGCAACTTCGGTTGCACAGCATGTTTTCCCTGCCGAGAAGATCGCTCTCGAACTTACACGCGCAGGCCAATCTTACACCCATCTGGACAAGTTGGCAATGTCCTTCTCACCACTGGAGGCTGCCCGCCGCAACGCTATAACCATTGGGTCCTGCCGCGATTTGGCGTCATCGGCCTTGCTCCACTCGTCCAATATCAAAAGGAAGGGTATTGATAAACGCTCATTTTCGCCATTTTCAAGCTTTCAAAAGTGGATTTTCGGGATCAGCGTATTGAAAAACCCCAGGTAAGCGCAAATTTGACTAGGCTGAGGTTTGCCGAGCCACTGCCTTTGAGTCACGTTTGCCAAGAGCATTACAGTAAGTGTCTGCAGACGAATTACAGTGGTTTCTAAACTCACATTCGTAGTGCAAAATGGTACGCTCTGCACTGGATTCGAATTACTGGCCTTTCGCCTTCAATACTAACAACTAACCATTACAACACTGCACCACCAATGCACATAGCAGCGCTCTCTAAGTTAAGGATTGCCCCAAAATAGGATTTTCAGGCTTCCATAACTCTCTTCAGAAGAGCACTCCGCAGAAAAGAAAAGCAGATTTGAAATCAGCGTTTGAAACTGCTTCAGATGATATGCATCTCATATCAAAAAGGCACGGCCATTCAAAATACCTTCCTCGTAAGCCCTGAGTAAGATCCCTTGTAGCGGAGCAAACAATGGAGATATTACTATCTAACACATGAAACCAAAAAAGGCTAAAAACAGCGGGTAATCCTTGGAATAATGACTTTTGTAAATGTCGCGAGATAGCAGACTTGATGTGCAATACACATACTGAGCTAGAAAAGACTCGTCAATGCATTCATTCGCTGCTGGTGGCACAGTGCAGAAATACCTAATAGTACGAAGTGATGTCGATTCACTCAATTTAGTTTATAAAGTCGCTTGCTCGCTTTGAGGAGAGCAGTTAATCTTTTTCATGATGTCATCCTGAAACAATTCAATAACTTTCGATCAGCACGTAGGCGAAATAGTTGTACATAATAAGCACGATTTTTCGTGGGCATGTTTTCGTGATGGTATTGCGCAGCGCATATTGTACAAAAACCGTGGTAAATACCTTTCAGTAGAACTCTGCCCACACATTTTCCTCGGCAGAAAGTTCTCTAGATGCCCCTCTCTAAAACAGAATGACTGGTGAATTTTGGCAATTCATAAGGCCCAGAAACATTTTATTTCAAACAGGTCTACAGCAGCAGCTTAGGGACCCGTCATACTTCGCCGAAAAAAGCCCAAAAGCGCCCAAAAAAGCCCGAAAAAGCCCAAAAGCGCCCGAAAAAGCCCAAAAAAGCCCAAAAGCGCCCAAAAAAGCCCGAAAAAGCCCAAAAAAGCCCGAAAGCGCCAGAAAGAGCCGGAATGTAGAAACGAACTTTTGGTAGAATTCTGACATTGGCCCGTAGTAAAGCTGCCTCAGTCGATCTCAACTGAATATAAATTCAGTTGAGGCTTCGACGAGTCAGCTTGCCTTCAGTCGAGCCATTGATCCATATCGTTCATTTACACGTAATCATTCTCGAGAAAACCACCTATTGTACAAGTCAAAACTCGTAATTTACCCCATTCAATCGTTCTACTACTAGAAATGAAAAGAGTGGTTTAAACTTGTCAGAAATGCACGGTCTAACTTTCACTTGGCTGATTCCAAGAATGGATGATAGCTCTAAGCTCGTATGTAGGAGAATCCTTTTACAAAAGTGAGTTCAAGCGCATTGTTGGAAGGTTAAAAGTACAACATGGCCTAATACTCAGTTCTTGCGATTTTTTGCGCGCATGATTTGTTAACGAGTCATCACTAACACATCTTTCTGATGGTAATGGTCATCTCTATAAATTCAAGCTCCGTCTTTGTTAGTTGTCATATGCAATTGCCTTCGAAAACGCCAAACAATTGTTTGCATCATCTGTCGTACCGCTCAAACGAATTCCCACTGTCGTCTCAGGACGGTCATATCACGAGCGACTGACAAGGGAACGATCCCAACTTAAGGTGGCGAATTGGAATGAACCGCATACCATTAGATGCGTCTTGATGAGCTGATTCCAAATCTGTCTTCCATATCTGCGACAACGTTATCTGCAAAAAGTTATGAGCGGTTAAAAATGTGAAGTTATCAGGGTTTCAATGTATAATATGCTTTAAAATCCAACTTGGAAGTGCACGACTAGCATGATATTGAGTGTACTGATTCGAGAGAATGCTCAGATTCTAAAGAAACAATAGTAAGTGTTTTTGAACAGCTAAAAGCAATCAAAGTTCTTTGGTAAAAGCTATCAGCAATGAGTCCAAATTTGGCAAATGAACAGCGCCATACCTCGAAAATTAGTTGTTCAAAAACACTTATCTGTGTTTCTTTAGAATCTGAGCATTCCCTGGAATCAGTACACTCAATATCATGCTAGTCGTGCACTTCCAAGTTGGATTTTAAAGAATATTATGCATTAAAATCCCGATAACTTCACATTTTCAACCGCTCATAACTTTTTGCAGATAACGTTGTCGCAAATATGGAAGACATATTTAGAATCAGCTCATCAAGACGCATCTAATGGTATGCGGTTCATTCCAATTCGCCACCTTAAGTTGGGATTGTTCCCTTGTGAGACTCTTACTAGTGTGGAGTATGGATCCAGTCTCTTGATACTCGATTGCCGAAACGAGCGCCTTTCACCTACACGAAATGATAAAGATAGCAATTAGATGCACTTCGTGATCGCCTGTTCGCATTATCTTTTTCGTTTCTCCAAGATTTAGCTACAGCCCCTCCCCCTATTTTGAGCTACTCAGAACACATCATAATGGACGAGATGCTATTTTCAATAGCCTACCACAAATTTTACAAGTCCCGGCTTCATCTTAAACTTCCTATCTTGTTCAAGGACTTCACCTGTTTCGAAAATTTTATCTCTTGACCCCCCTAATAATGCAGTGCACGGATCCAACAACAAAACATCGCTAAGCTTCTACCTCTTGTTTAACCACTCCCGTGAAAGTTTTGCTTAGAAGCCACTGATAACCTTTTAATTAAGCAAATTCGAACAAATCGCATAGTTGTTAACAAAAGGAAAAGAAATGAAGGTAATGCAAAAGGGAAGAATTTTTGATGAGAGCTTTATCAAATTCTGCGAGCAAGTTGAGTTCCTGCGCATTCACAGCCACTTAGGCATCCACCGAGTTCTGAAGAACTCCAAAGTGTGAACATTCGTGATTACCTGCTTGAAGGGCACCTGCATGTCTCAGTACCCCGCAGATGTTGATAGTTCTACAAAACAGTTGTTTTGCACACACAAAAAAACACTGATCGCTATAAGGACCTGCATTCAGACGTGCACTGATTGCGTACTTCCAATAATGATACATCGTTTCCAGTACTGTGAGAGTCAGAACCGCTTTCCAACAGTCAAACAAACATCGTTCTTTGTACATAACACCAAGTAAGCAGAACAACAAAAATTGTAACCGATTCTCAAGACGCATATGCAATTTGTTCCAAAACACCTAAAAGGCAATCGTTAGATCGAACTGACAATAAACAGCGTCAACAATAAAAGATGTATGTACATGTTCATTGTGAAACTAGCTATCATATGTCCAGCGTAAAAGTAAAAAAAGAGCCGTCATGTTTTAGCTAGCCAAATTCATTCTTAGGTCCGTCTGCACGTACATCCTTGGGGGGAGGGAAGGGAGGGGATCTAGGGTAGAGGATTATGGGCCGCATGCATTAACATTCCCCCCAGGGAGGGGATCGCGTGTTATGGGAATGTGGTGGAACTCTGGAACTCAAAGATCAGTACGAACCCAACCTCCTGATAGGAGGCAGAGCCTTACAAGGCTTCAATGCAGCACAATGTCGCCTCCATGAACTTCGAAGATTCAACGGCCTGACAGAAAAAAAGACTTCATATAAGCGAGAAGAAAGTAAAACGAAAGTAGCGAAAACAAGTAACATTAGTATTAGGAAACCGTAACGATTCCTGCTTTAAAAAAGTCCGCTCGAACTTGCGCTTTTGTAAAGGTTGTCTGCGAACGTGGCGGAAGGCACGAGCGATTCGCGGCGATTTGGAGAATGTTGTTAGCTTCCTGACTGAGAAGTAAAGGAGGTCGTCTCAACAAGACTGTCGCAGAAGCGCCGAGCAGTCGCTGCGACTCCCTCGTGCTCTGTGCCGCGTTCGCAGGCGACCTTTACAAAAGCCCGGCGAGGTCGAGCGAACCGGCTGCGGATGGCCAAACTGCTGGAGCTGCCACATTCCTGAAATAGGCTATATTTCAAGATCGAAAACAGTTTAGTTATAAAATGCATTGTGCAGACGATTAGATATCAAAACTTCTGAATTATGGCTCAAAAAACAACGCACTTACATAAATCTTGTGAGAATTGGGTGTGCAGAAAGAGACGAAAAATTGCATAAAGAACATTAACTCCGTGTTTTCGTCAAAATGAGCCTAAATGGAGAAACATAGACGATAGACGATAGACGCTAATTGACAATGGGACTATAATAGAGGATGCTCACCTAAGACCACACAGCTGTGCCAGCGCGGTTGGATTTCCAACCAATCACACATGTGCCAACAGAGTTCATTCGGGGCGCGGAGTGTAGGGAGTGGATGGAGATATCCATGGAAAAAACTCTGAAACACATCATTTGCACATCATCAGAAAAAAGAATTCTGAAAGTGTGTTAAAAATTGTGCTTCAGCACCATCAGGAAATTTAAACATATGTTTCACATACGGACAACTAGATTGCCCTGTCTGGTAGCACCCTGTACCGTCATTGAAGACGCAGCATCCGGTACCATTCTCCTTGGCCCTTTCTTCATTAATCAATCGCCATAAGCCGGGTTCGCGTCTCATGCAAGGCGAATACTTCGCTCCTAGTCGTATCAAGTCGGCCTATAAAATTCGCTGATGGACGCGACGATGAAATTACATTAGTTTATGCTTACAAATCTCGGCCCTATCCAGAGATTGACATGCTCGTAGTAGCTCACTTGCCTCATCGCAAGCGAAACATCAACGACTTCTTCATTCATTTCTACTCGTTCCCAGCCAAAAGGTCCGACCCCATAGATCAGCAGAGATACGATACAAACTAGCACTTGAACACTGGTTACTCACCATGTGAACAATGCCCTACAACAATTAATAGAAAAAAAAGCTGATTTAGTCATACTTAAAATGTACCTTTCATCCGAACCACGTTCTATGATGTCTCGCACTTTCGGGTCAAGGGCATCGATCTAGAAAAATGACAAAATTTAATACTGCTTGAAGGAATGCTATGGAATACCTTTTCTCTGTGAAGGCTCCCCTCGTAAAATGAGCTGAGCGCACCAATTCCTCGGTACCGTCGATATCGAGGTATGAACAAGTTAGAGCTTTGTCGGCCAAGATTCTGAGAAATGTACATGATGTAAAACGTTTGGTGAGTGGCCTGAACAGCGAAACGTGATAGCTTTTGTGCATGACAGATAGGGAACAAAAAATGAACAGAGGTCAGCTGAGCAACTGTGATCGTCCGGGCACGAGAACGCAAACGATCTTCAAATCTTTCATGAAAAACACTACTACAATTCAATAGCCGAAAAGAGAACAGAGTACAGAACAGGTAAAATGTCAGTTCATCAAAGTAAACAAATAAGTACGATGAAAATAAGGAGGATATGAAAAATATAATGGTAAGATACTCACAACAAGCACATCTTCAACGAGGCTCCGTTTATGTGTTTCAACCACTGATGTCTGTTTCAACAAAGGATAACGCGGTAAAGACCGTGTCTGTAATGCGCAATGTAAACTCTCGAGCAAGTATGTACTGGCATGAACTTACCCGAGATTTCACGGCATCTAACAAAGGACGATCCGGCTGAGTTATTCCAATGCGATCTTCCTCTGGTACAGGTCCTAGAACTACTTTTGCTACAGGTATGTGGATTCTACCATCGCCGATGTCTAAATGAGACTTGCAAATTTATGAGAGTAGAATCAAACATAGAAAGCACTCACCGAGACGCGAGATTCCACCCAGTGCCATACGAGGTTCTGAAAACACTACAACTAAAGCAATTCGACGGTCTACGTAGCGAATTTACCTTCTGGTACAGGCAGCTTTGGCAGTGACATTAACGTGGTCATTGGTCTTTCTTTACCCTGAACAGAAGATCTTCAAGAATAGAAAAGTGAAAAAGGCTGAGTTGCGCGTAACAAGCAAAGGAAACTAACAGCTTTCAATCTAGCCGCAGGCTCGATTTCAGAAGCAGAGGAAAATGCAAAGAAAAGGTCATCGGTGTCCACATGCTCTTGCGATGACTAAAGTAGCAGGTGCTTACTAACTACTATGCAAAAGGAAAAAAACAGCTCTACTTACCAGTTTTGGCTTTGGAATAGTTTCTGTAGACGCAGTTTCATCAGTAGGAGTAGAGTACTGTGCCTCACTTGGAAGAGATGATGGCTCCTCGGATGGTGTCTCATACACCGACAGTACTTCTCCCATTTCGATTTCTTCTAAGTTTGCTAAGGGCGGAATAGGCTCGCTTTGTTGTCTCGCTGCATCATTGGCTGACTACAAAATATGGTTCTTCCCAAAAAGAAAGAGATGTAAACAAGTAACAAGAAAAGGAAAAATGCCTCAGAGTCACAGAAAGTGTTTCAAAGCCATACTTCCTTATCCAAAGACAATTCACTGGATGACTCCTCGGGTATCGGAGGCTCGTCCCTCTGCAGTCTTCGCAGGGTTGGTTGCATCTTCGTTGGAGGCTCATCATCAGCTAAAAGCGACTAACTGCGTTCAACAGCCTCCAACGTCTGCATGCACTTGCCTAACAGACCTTTCATAATGAGGTGACTGACAAACCAGACTGAACCTCTTTAAGACGAGTACAGCCGCGCTGTGGTTTAGATGCACTGATTCTAGACGGAAGCTGTAACCTTGAAGACAGTGGCTCAGCAAAATGGACCCCTCCCAGATTTTAGTAATATTAGGTAGACCCCCTAAGTACACCTTCTCCCCAATTTTACCTTCCAATTCATTCGCTTACACACTAGCCCCAAATTTACTTTCCAATTCACACTAAGTCCTGAAAACGTCTTTCCAAAAGTCCACCGACGTCCACTTAATGGAAATGGGTTAGACTGACGGACTTTTGAAGCTCCTTTTCAGGACTTAGCGCGTGTGAATGTGGGATTGGACCTACGGGGTACTTTTTAGATCTACTACCCAACAATGTCAAAATTTTACAGGGATATTTTGCCAATCACTGCCTTCAAGAACGAGTAATGAAAGAAGGTTGAAAGGAAAGGGTAACGGCTATAATCTGAACTATGGCAAAGGCGAGTAACAAGAAAACTGATTACCTGATCGAATCAAGCATCAAGAATCAATAAGTCGTGTTTGGAAAGACCCGGAGTCAGGAAACCTAGTCGAGATTTGAATCGAGGAATACTAAAGCAAAATATGTGACCACGAAGTGAATCAAAGACGTACTTACGCCATGTAATCCACATTGTGCCCTTGGGTGTGCACAATACTCTCATTGCACTTGGTAACACATCGACAAAGTCAGTGGCGCTGCACGCAATGAGATAACTGTCTGAAGAAAACAAATGAGAAGAAGAAAAACAATTTCGACTAGAAGAAGCACCCACAACTAAACTCCGTGCGGCCACGCCACCGTCTAATCCTCTCGTTCGATTACAGCTTTTCTTTTATTAACACGTATCTGAGCAGCCTTTTGATGCCGTTCCTCTAAAGTAATCACTTTCTTGACTCATGACAGCAAATACTCCAACTTTACCTAAACCACGTAGCTTGATTCATCTCCAGTTTACCAGATGACTTATCACACCTCGATTCTCAGCATCGATTCGACCCTTTGATCGTTTCCCCTTGAACGTTTTGTGAGCTAAGCACCTTTTTGAGGATTAGCCGTTTCGGCTAATCCTCAAAAAGGTGTGTCGCAAAAGGGGCGTTTCGGCCCCAGAACGCTTCTGGGGGCCCTTTGAGCGAAGGCTAGCCTGACCTAAGAAAACCATATTGAAGACGCGGAAAAAGAGAAAGTTTGCAGCAGCGTTAGAGAAAGAAGAGAAGAGGAAGAGAAAACATCAAAAACAACAGCTGATTATGCGACCACGACATATACAAACTCACGAAAATGGAAGATTTAAAAACAGAAATTTTCTGCAAAATGGAATGCAAAACTAAAATCATGAAATGGAGGAAATAATAGCAGCTCGGGTTTAAATACTGACCAGATAGTTATGACACTTCTGAGATCGGCTTTAAACTTTCAAAAAGTATCTAGTTCTCATCAAGACCAGACACAGCTAGCGGTCCTATATCAGGAGATTTCGCTTAAGCGATGAGCACTTGAAAAATGCCATCGAGCAGAATCATGACAGCTGGGATAAGATACGGATATCATGTCAAAAAAGAGGATTTTGATTAACTCGTCAAAAATTATGCTAGTTCAAATGATAGTTGCATTGACAACAAAAGGAAAAAGTGAAAGGAAGCGAAAAAAAGGCCAAGAACGTCAAGTCCGCCACAAGCAGAGCGAGGGAAAATGTGTGCAGTTTTCCGTTGAGTTTTTCTGCATTATTAGGGAAATTATGATGTTTTGTAAGTTACTCAGGAGCAACTTACGAAAAGTTTCTCTGCGTATCATCATTAGCACACTATTTTCATCAAAAGGTAGTCTAACTGAATGTGAACTGACTGAAGTAAGGTAGACTACCTCGTCAGGTAGACGGACGGTCAGCTGAAATCTCACTTTGCATTCTTACAACGTGGAGAGCTGGCGATAGTCTACCTTACCGGACCTTGGATGAGGGCTTCAGTTCAGTTCACCTGAACTGAATTAGGTTTACTACGGGCCATTATCTTATCATGCACGACAGAAAATGACAAAAAGGCTCGATTGCGAAGTCAACACACATGCTTTAGCGCCAAAACGTGCGAGAAGTGTTCCGGCTCTTTCTGGCGTTTTTGGGCTTTTTTGGGCTTTTTTGGGCTTTTTCGGGCTTTTTTGGGCTTTTTCGGGCTTTTTTGGGCTTTTTCGGGCTTCTTTGGGCTTTTTTCGGCGAAGTATGACGGGTCCCTTAGAGAACTGATTTGGCATTGGTACTTCGATCGGCATGCTATTCTGAGTACTTGAGTTTGCGCTGACCTGAGGTCCTCTATCATATTTTGCGGACGGGTTTCTGTAAAGGCGAACTCAAGCTTTCACATAGGAATGATATCAAGGGCAACACTCAATAATGCAGCTTCTCAAATATCTTAGCAATTGAACAGAGGCAAAAAACCCGCTGATGTGAAGGCGAAAACGGCTATCAAACTAAGGAAAAATCCATTTTCACCTAAAACATGTCTACTGTAGCCCTACAGTAAGAAGCTATCTTGCGAATCAAATATGAATCTTGTAATCAGCAGGTCAGATAACCTAGTTATACAAATTTTCCAAAAAAAGTAGGACTGCTTGATTTTTCCTCGTTCATCGTTCTCGACCTCGCCGCAGGTTTTGGTTGAACTAATTATGTTCTTGGATTGATCGGAAATTTTGAAGAACTTGAATGCATGTTTTTGCCCATAAGAGACTTTGTGTACAGCGCTATCAGAATATGCCTAAAGCAGACCTCTATCTGCACTGTATTTGCATTCGCAAGATTGTAAGCTTACATTATGTTCTCATAAATTTTGTCCCAAGTTTCGAAGACCATCTATCTTGGCGAGATCCAGTCAAAAGCGCATTGCGACACGGCTGGAATTATTGGCGGGAAACTTGTGAGCGGAACTCGCCAAAATAGATGGTCTTCAAACTTGGGACACAATTCCTGAGAACATAACTTTGTAAACTTTAACCTTGCGAATAGTGCGGTAGTAGTCATTAGGCCTCAGACAGAGTTCATGCGATTTCGTCCCCTTGCGATTCTTGCAAAAGACAACTGTTACGAGTCTATTGCTGTCGATCACTTTGCATTCCGGTTATGATAGTCAGTATTGGTCGTGTTGGAATACTATCATAGCCGGAATGCAAGTTGGTCGGCATACAGCGAACTGATAACAGTTGTCCTGATGGAGAATCGCGAGGCGATGAAATCGCGTGGATTCTGCCCGAGCCTTAGGCATATTCCGATAGCGCTGTTCGTCTCTAACGTGCAAAACATGCAAGCAAGCCCAAAAGGTCGGCGAGAAGTGCAGGCGAAGTTGCGATCTTTCGTGGTTTACTTATCTCTCTTTCACTACAACTTTACTGAAGGAGACTCTTTGATGCATAACCAAGCTTTTCGTTAAACAATGGGTCCGGAAACCACTGCGAGTGAAGTTTCCGGTCATCCAAAAACACAAATCTTTCGACCAAAATCTGCGGCGAGGTCGAGAACGATGAACGAGAAAAAGTCAAGCAGCCCTACTTCTTTGAAAGATTTGTATAACGAGGTTCTCTGATTTACTGTTTACAAGAATCACATTTGATTCGCTAGATAGCTTCTTACTGTAGGGCTACAGTAGATATGTATGTTTTAGGTGAAAATGGATTTCTCCATCTGCTATGTCGCGATCTGGTACTCAAGTCTGCTATCTCGCGACATTTATGAAAGTTATCATCCCAAGGATCACCCTCTGTTTTTAGCCTTTTATGGTTTCATGTGTAAGATAGTATGTCTCTATTTGTACCGTAAGAGATCTCACTGCCGAGTCACCATTAAGGTGTCGTTGCTTGTCCCGAGCAGTGTGCAGGCTCACATTGAGCTATAAATAACCTGCGGCACCTAAATCCGGTACTCGCAGCCTACTTTCGGTCACCACCGCCAATTTTTTTCACAAATCACGAGCGGTATTGTAGCTGGGTACCTAAATTAATATGCGTTAAAACCCTGGTATACAAATTTCCAATTTCCATTTTTTTCATTCGGCCTACTTTACTTTATAACGGGCTGTACGCTAAGGTTTGTCGTGGTCCTACAATAATCAGCGTAATCGGTCCTTTGCTTCATACTGTACATCTTGTGTAAGCTGAGCCAGTTCGACACTTGGTACTTTGGGAGCGGAGAAGGACTCCGATAAATCAGAATAAAAATTGGGAGGTGAAGATCAACCATTTTGAAAATTTTTGCAATAAGTCTGCGTTTGCAACTTTGTTTTGCTTTAGAATACCCATCAAACAACAAGCCAATAGAGTCTTTTTGCCAGTATACAAACGCCCATAAACAACTTTGACATTTCAAGAAAAATCAGCATGTTTTTGCGTTTTAATTGTTAATTCAAAAGAGATGAAGACGAATTCAGCAGGTAACAGTGAGTCGCCCTTTCTAACTCCGACCATTCTAGGTATAGTATAACTAATCCTCTTGCCAGATCAGGGAATGCTTATTCTTAAATTTGATATTTAATGCATTCAAGTGCCAGAAAATCTGGACATCGGAAAAAATCGATAGATGACATTGAAGTAAGAAAATAATAGAGACTAGCGACCCTACGGGTCGCTAGCAAGTGGGTCAGGGCAGATACAATATAAGAGCTTAGCTGTGACTAAAAATATTTCTGAATAAGTTTTCTGTTCTTTTCCTGAGAACATTTTAGCGAAGAGGATTCTACAAAAGGAAAACTGCTCGAAGAAGCGATGATCTCCACAAATCATTCAGCATTTCTCGAAATTCCTGCTACAACCATGCATGATATTATTTTATCTCGTTTACACGCTCTTTATGCAACTCCCCTCCTCACAGAGACATTCAGATACCCCCCCCCCCCCCCCACTTTTCTACCCTCTCAAAGAGAATTTGCTCTTTCAGTTCTTCTCAACAAGTTCCATAAAAGATCGTTAAGTAAGTAGCAGAACATCTATCGTTTTGGAAGTAGAATTACACCATAAGAATTAGTGTACTACAAAATCCACTTTTCTCTCAGAATCAATTCCGACAGCAACGAAATCAATCGTCTAAGAACTTTGTTAAAGAATCCTTATTTTTTCGCTGAAGGAATATGAAGCTTTACTACAAAAGGGAGCCACCCAAAGATCGTCAATCATAAGAACTGCACAAACGTACATGAAATTTCTTTCCCTGTCCGATCAAATTGCCCTACGTGCCGCTTGAAAACCGTACAAAAATTAAGAGAACTGCCCCAAACATAAAAAAAAAATCTGTTTCCCTGCCCGATCGGGTTGCCCTACGTGCCGCTTATACAAACCAATATCATCTATCTAAAAGGCAGTTCATGCCCTACGTGCCGCTTGAAGACCGTTTAAAAATTATAAGGACCGCCCCAAACATGCAAAAATCTGTTTCCCTGCCGGATCGGGTTGCCCTACGTGCCGCTTACAGACCGATAGTAACTATGTAAAAAGAAAGTTTATTCCCTACGTGCCGCTTGAAGACCGTTTAAAAATTATAAGAACTGCCCCAAACATACAAAAATCTGTTTCCCTGCCCGATCGGGTTGCCCTACGTGCCGCTTATACAAACCAATATTATCTGTTTCCCTGCCCGATCGGGTTGCCCTACGTGCCGCTTATACAAACCAATATCATCTTAAAAGACAGTTCATGCCCTATGTGCCGCTTGAAGACCGTTCAAAAATTAAGAGAACTGCCCCAAAAAAATCTGTTTTCCTGCCCGATCGGGTTGCCCTACGTGCCGCTACAAACCAATATTATCTGTTTCCCTGCCCGATCGGGTTGCCCTACGTGCCGCTTATACAAACCAATATCATCTATCTAAAAGACAGTTCATGCCCTACGTGCCGCTTGAAGACCGTTCAAAAATTAAGAGAACTGCCCCAAACATAAAATAATGTTTCCCTGCCCGATCGGGTTGCCCTACGTGCCGCTTATACAAACCAATATCATCTATCTAAAAGACAGTTCATGCCCTACGTGCCGCTTGAAGACCGTTTAAAAATTACAAGAACTGCCCCAAACATACAAAAATCTGTTTCCCTGCCCGATCGGGTTGCCCTACGTGCCGCTTACAAACCAATATTATCTATCTAAAAGACAGTTCATGCCCTACGTGCCGCTTGAAGACCGTTCAAAAATTA